TTCAAACTCAAACCAATTCAACCTTAACTGCATGCAATACTGTGGTTGCTAGAGTATTAAGTAAATTCTGTAACAAATTTTTATAATGGAAACTCAAACTAATTCTATGCAGTATTGTGGACACCAGAATATCAGGTAACAGAATTTTTATAGCGGAAATAACAATAATTCTAATTTGAATCAATTCAACCTAAGCTAAACAAGTACAGCATATCAAGTAAGTTCTATAATAGATTTTTTATAGTGGAGACCATGGTAATTTCTAATTCAAACTCAAACCAATTCAATCTTAACCACTTGCAGTACCGTGATCACCAGGGTATCAAGTAAGTTCTGTAACAGAATTTTTATAATAGAAAACATGAAATTCAAATTCAAACTCAATCTAATTTAACACTAACTACACACAATACTGTCCTCAACAACCATAAAGCCTAATCACAACATGAGGTTCTTACATTGCTACAACATGAGTTCTTACACTACTATTATAGGTGCAGAGCTTAATTGCCAAACATGAGATTCTTGTACTACTTGTAGCAGCGAGAGAACCTAATTACAATATGAGATCATTATATTTATATCAAAGCTACAGAACCTAATTATAATGTGAGTTTCTTGTATAGTTATCAGAGTAGTAAGTAATTAGCTAAAGTGAACTATACTATTTAAATTCTATTAAGTAAATCTCTATATACTTATTATTTATATGTATTGAAACTTTCATCTTGCGCTTCATCAATTGTTTTATGCTTTATAGGTTTTTATTCTTCTAATTTGTAAATTGTAAATATAACAGAAAATATGTATTTACAATATTATATGAGATTTAGCTCTAAATATGAACTCCCTTTTAAGAAGAACATTAGTATTATCTTTTTTTTTCTTTAATAAGGTATGGCTTAGAGTAGATTATATAAAGGCATCTTTTGTTTAAAGAATTATTTGTAAACTATACAATATATTTACCATTATTGTTGATTTCGATTTAATTGAATTTTGTTTAATTTATGCTATCATAGCTATATAGCCTAATCATCACGTAATGTCCTCACACTGTTATCATAGCTGTGATCAAAATTGAGGTTCTTACAACACTCTTGGCAGCTATAGACCTAATTACAACATTAGAACCTTTAATTGCTATCGCAGCTATAAAGCCTAATCACAACATAAGGTCTTTGTACTGCGTAAAGCTTATTTGCCAAACATGAAGTTCTTGCATTGTTTTTGATAGCCATAAAGCCTAATCACATCATGAAGTCATTATACTACTATCATATGTGCAAAGCCTAATCATCAAACTTGAAGCTCTTGTACAGCCTGCAGTAGCCATAAACCCTAATCACAGCATGAGATTCATGCATTGCTATCATTGCCACAGAGCCTAATTACAATGTTAGGTTTTTGTGCTACTATCAGAGTTGTGGAACTTAATTTCAAATATGAGATTCTGAACTCCTTTGGCAGCTATAAAGCCTAATCATAATAATCACCAAATATAAGGCTCTTGTACTGCCTGCATAGCCATAGAGCTTAATTACAATTTGAGATCCTTGCATTGCTATCACAACTACTGAGTCTAATTACGACATAAGTCTTTGTACTGCTATTGTAGTTGTGGAGTTTAATTGCTAAACATAATATTTCTATATTGCCTGTAGCTGCCATAGAGCTAATCACTCATGAGATTTTTAATATAAAATCTTTGTACTGCTATCATAGTTGCAGAGCTTAATCACCAAACATAAGTTTCTTGTACTGCCTGCGATGGTATAGAATCAAGTTACATGAACTTCTTGTATTACTATTTATAGCCATGGGGCCTAAATACAATGTAAGTTCCTGCACTGCTATCATGGTTGCAGAGCTTAATCAAGAGTTTTGCACTATCCGCGGTAGCAATAGAGCTTAATCACAACATGAAATCCTAGTATTTTTGTTACAACCACCGAGCACCGAGTCTAATATGTCCTTGTGCTATAGTTGTAAAATTTAATTACTAAATATGAGGTTCTTGTACTGTCTGTTGTAACCATGGTTCTTTGCATCCCTATTGCAACCATAGAGTCTAATTACAATATGAGGTCTTTATACTAGTATAATGCAATATAGTACACTTATCTCAGGATCTGATCAACTTACTGACAGTCACTTCATAGACACTACATTTCACTGAAAATTACTTACTAACAAGTTCATTTCACAGACAATTTATTTATCAAAGCTCATTCAACAGATAAAGCAATTCTGGTCATTATTATTAAGATTAGATTAATTTATAAAAAATACTTGTTAGTCAAATGAGCTTTGGTGAAATAGATTGTTGGTAAAATGAACTTGTTGATGAATAATGTTGGTAAATTGTGGTGTTTATAAAGTGATTATTGGTGAAATAATACAAATCACTTAAATATAACTTCATTTAAGTAGCTCAAGTACCTAGATCTAGTAAAAAAAATTTTTTACTATGATTCTTACTATATTAAAAAAGCTATAAGTTATATTAACTTTTGTTATGACCAGATAATCTATAACTAGTTATAAAGCTTATATAGGTTATTAAAGATCATTAGCTATCACTGCTAAACATATGGTTTTTGTATTGTTTTTAGTAGGCATGAAGCCTAACTACAACATGAGATCCTTACACTAGTATAATTCAATATAGTATACTCATCACTAACTCCTTTTAAGCAACTTGAAATCCTAGTTAATAAAAATTTTTTTTTACTTTTTTATATGCTTTAAAGTACTTTTTGTACTTGTGATTTTTTAAAACTTACTCAATTAACTCATTAAAGAAATTTAGCAGCAAAAAGAGCCTTCGAATATCTATAGTCTATTAAAATTAATCAAAAATAATTATAATACTTAAAAAGTTTTATAAAAAACAAATTTTATAGAAGATCGTAGATAAATGAGTTCATAATTCATAAAGACAAAGATATTTTAGTGTTAAAACCAAAAACAAATATAGTCAACTCTCTCTAAACTGAACAAGCTATTTCAAGAGATTTTGTTCAGAATAGAGTAAATCTGAGATACAAAATTTACTCTTTTATACCAAATATTCAATATATAAAATTAGCCAATTATAAGTGTATCATATAAGTATGATTTTTATCATGTTAAATCAAGATTTACAGTACTCTGTGTAATTTCTAATTCAAGCAGCATCATATTAATGTTTTCTATCATAGTGATATTTTACAAAGTATCTAAATATCTAACTACAAGTTAAATCTCAATATTTAGAAAATAGTAAGTTATTGTAAAGTGCATATTTTTTTCGAATATTTATTACTTCAAACAATTTTTTTTATTGCTTTTTTAAAAAAAAAATTCTAGGTGATTTAAAAAATTTTTATATAAATTTTATATATAAAATTTAAAAAAAAATGGCTAGCTAGGCCTATATTAATTTTTATAGCATAATATATATATATATAATTTTTTTTTGTTGGGACCCATTAGTATTCAATATATTAAGCTAAACTAAATTTTCAGAAATTATGTCAGTAAGTTTATGACTATCTTATTATGTCATTTTGTAAATTCTGTATGATATAAATATCAGTATATTTACACGTTTATATATTTATTTAGCCACAAAATAGTTAGAAATTTTTGCTTGCTTCAAATTTTTAATACAAAGCAACTTAACTTAATGATGTAACCTTTTTATATCCTCTTCAACTTCTCCAAATTCTTCATCTTGTTCATATAAAACTTTTAGAATTGTATCAAGTGCTGCTTCTGCTTTAACATAACTAACTTTTTCATTTATTTTACTATTAGATTATTCAATTTCATTTTTAATTTTATTAGCTATTGCTTCTAAAATATCATTGTTAGTAAGACCACCTTCAATTTTCATATTTTCAGTACAAATATATTCTCTAACATTTAAAAAATCAGTTTTTGGAAGTTGAGTAATTAAGTTTTCAAGCTTCTCTTCTTTATTCTTTAATATTTTCTTAATATCATTCTAACTATAATCAATTTGTATTTTCTCTTCTTGTAGTAGAAGAATACCAGTTTTATTCCAACAATTAACAATTGTTTCAGGTATTACTATTGTCCACACCTCTGCAGCATTAAGTAATACATGATAACATTGTATACTGAAAGCTCTTTTGTAATATCATTTTGCAAGTTATTATATATATTTATTCAATTTTGAACAAAAAGCTGCTTGTATTTGCATTTAAATGAATTGATAATTTCTGCATCGCAAGGCTGAAAGAATAGTGTAGTATTTTTTGGTAAAAATTTAACTTTTATATTGTTTAACTCTTCTTGAGTTTCATCTAAAATTATATGAACTAGGGTATTATCAACCAATAAGAAAATATTTTGATTTTGTTATTTCATTTTATTATTTAGTTTAAAAAGAATATCATTAAAAATACTAACCTGTATTCATAATTTTTTATTCCAAAAATATTAAACTAGAAAATTTTTATAATTTAAATTTTTTATTGCACATGGTGTTTTATATTTATGAATAAAGAAAAGTTTTATTTTTTCTGTTCCAAAAGCATTTATAGTACAAAAAATTGTAATACAGACTTTTTCTTTTTTATGACCAGCAACTTTTGAGTGTGCCAAAGTTCAAGAGAGTTCTATCTTTCAAAAAAGCCCAGTTTCATCTGCATTCCAGATATCTTTAAGGTCATAAGCACAAAGAGGTTGTTGCAACTTAGTACAATCATTAGTCATTGACTCTTCTGTTGGTGCACTAGCTAATTCTTCATGTTTTTTAATAATTGAAGACTATTTTTTTTTAAACCCACTTAACCAACCTTCAGATTGGCTAAAATCATTAATATTTAATTTTTTAGCAAAGAATTTTGCTTTTTCTTTAAGAATATTACCTTCAATATCTTGATAGTTTGCAAGTACATTATTGATCCACAAGCTAAGTGCTTCTTCCAGTTTTAACTATTTAGGTCCATGAAATTTATTTTTTTTTGTTTAGCATCTGAAATTGCAAGCTACCATGTTTTTTCTTTTAAAATATCAGATACTGTTGACCTGCTAATTTGATAAAGTTTTGCTAATTCATAATAGATAAGGTTAAGGTTTTTTTCTTTAGTTTTACAAAGACTATATTTTTGCATAGCAGTAAGACTAGAATGTTAATGAGTTAACATTTATTTGTTTTTAATAATATGATTTAGAAGAATAAAGCAAATATGATTCCAATTTGAAGAATTTTAAATAATGAAATCCTATCCTTTTTTATTAATAACAGACATGAGATAATTATTTTTGGTTTTACTTTAAAAAAGAATATAGATGGCATTATTCTTAAATATTTCCATTGTTATTGTAAAATTTTTTAGTGAGAATTTTTTATTTTTATTTTTTGTGTTTGCATAAGACAAAAAATCTTGATAATTTTATGTGTAGGCTTTGTCTTTGGTACAAAGTGTATCTAATTCATATATACTTGTCTTATTTTTATTAAATATATATCCTTAAAAACTATTATTTTTTATATGTCAACCAATTTCTTCATACGTATAGTGCTTACATATAGTATAGATATAAGTGATCTGTTATTTTTAAAAAAAAAACAATAATAATGATTAATTGCTTAGGCAATATAAGTATCAAAGGCAGTATGAAGGCATTTATACAAATAGGTTCATATACATATATATGTGCATATAAGTCTTAAAATACAGTATGCATTTTTCTATTAAAGCTAATAAGATAACTAATTGGTTGGATAAAAAAACTAATTCTAGATTTATGCAAAAATTTTAAGTAATATACAAGTAGTTATCTTTATCCATGGATCATACAGGTTTATACAGATTTATATGCTTAGTCTAGAAGATGCATATTAAACCCATAATAAATACCAGTAGATTCTCTGTTGAGTCTATTGAGAAAGATATTTGAAATACTCTAAGAATACAGAATAAAATCAAACTGCCATCAATAGAAATAAAGCAGATTGATTCTAAAAAAATCATTATCTTACCTTTCACAGCTCATATCCTGATGAAATTTGAAGCTATTATAATGTTTTAATAGTTAAAAAAAAGCTTGGATCTTATGCTTTCTTTAGTATATTAAGTTATTATAATAACTTCAAAATTCATCGGGATATGAGTAGTGAATGTAAAGTAATATGTCAATCTGCTTTATTTCTATTGTGGTAGCGCAAATTTATTGATATTTAAATATGCATAACCGAATATAGAAAAGTTTCTATAAACCTAATAAAAGAGTTTCTAAAGAATATATATAAAAGTCAGCAGAAAGGGTATAAAAATAAGCTTGAGCAAATTTTTTTAGCCCACCAAACTACTATCCTTGCCATACCTCAATATACTAATAAATGTTTTGTATATTATGTGATTTTATAAACTAATTTAATATGTTTAATGAATCATAGTTTTTACTAAAAAACTCTCAATAGAACAAATATTTAAGAGTCAATGATACTAAATAGTTCAAGCTTTAAAAACTAGATTAGTTGATTAATCATTAATATTTATATTATCTGTTATTTAAAGTGTAATTAATGTATGATACTACTTTAGTAAATACAAATATATAAAAGGCTTATAATTAATAATTCGATCAAATATACTGCTTATATCATGTTCGAATCTAGTTTATAGAATTTATTATAGTTGTTCAATATATGCAGTATAATTATTTATAAATAAAATGTTTTTAAGCTTTTTGTTTAGAATAACCAGAGTTCAGTATATATAGATTCAGTTTAAAGAAAGTTGACTGTAATGTATAACTAAGATCTAGTATTTTCTAGAAAATGAAAAAGGAAACCAAGATAGTTTTTTATATAAAAAATGAAATAAAAAGATAAGTTAACTAGTTTTTTTTTTTTTTTTGGTGTTAAGATGATCTCTATGGCCAGGAGCTTTTTATTAGATAATTAACAACATTTACAATTATGATGAGGGTACAACTAGCCACATGTACAACTTTT